CCCCCCCCCCCCCCTCGGCTTCTGTAAGACGTATGTAGCAGTTGTCTTGCTGTTGTCGAGGCTCGGACGGGACTGTCATGACATTCTAAGAAGATTACGAAGGTCTCGTCGGGAAGTTTCTCGGAAGCTTCGCTCGGTCCATGTTGCCACCATCCTCATCGTGGAGCAACCGATCTACGAGATCTACGACAATCGGTTGGGGGGTGGGGGCGAGGGTGGGGGAGGGGGTACTCATGTACGCGCATGCCGTAGTCGTTAGGCCATTGACCTCGCATCTCTACAAGGCCGGGACGGGGTGATATGCCACGCCTTCGCTGTTAGACCGTTGACGACGCGTCCTGGAGAGGACGGAGCGTTGTCCCCGCAGGACCGGTGTGCCGGGGGGGGGGGGGGGGGGGGGNNGGGGGGGGGGGGGGGGGGGGGGGGGGGGGGGGGGGGGGGGGGGGGGGGGGGGTGGCTGTTGTCGACGAAAGTCCAATGGGGCGAGCTCGTCCGTTGGCATGCTCGCAAAAGTGAATAGTGAGACCGGTCAAGTGTGCGCAGGAGACATATCGACCGTTTGTTTTGCACGCGAAGCACAATTAAGTCTGGGGTATCGTGGGTGTGGTTGGGTGTGAGTTGGGGATGCCACGAGAGCACCGAATCCACGTCGACGCTGCGGAAGAGCCTGAGGACGGCTGCTACCTATTTAGAACTGCCTTCAAGCAGCAAGGACCAATGCTTCTTGTCTTTGCTCTGGGTGCATCCTTGGGGTGAAGGACATGCCCACATGGACATTAAAACCGTATGCATACCATACATCCAATTACCGCACAAAGCACAACAAAGTATGTCGATACCCCATGCTCGTCGTGGTGGCTGCTGCTCACTTGCCTCGCGTGTACATAGGGGCGCCGCGACAGCGTCTGCGGCGGACAAGAAGCAGGATGGGGGTGTCGACGACGAGAAGAAGAAGCTGCGGGGCGCCCTGGAGGGAGCCATCGTTTCGGAGAAGCCCAATGTCAAGTGGAGCGACGTGGCCGGGTTGGAGCAGGCGAAGAGCACGCTCAAGGAAGCGGTCATCTTGCCTGCGAAGTTTCCGCAGCTTTTTACCGGGAAGAGAAGGCCGTGGAAGGGTGAGTTTTTTTTTTTCTCTTTTATTTTATTTTTTTAGCGTGAGGATCACGTTCGATGCGGCGGAATCGCTGGTTGACCTCTGGTGGTCCTCAACAGGGAGAGAAGAGTTTTGCCGTGCGCGTGGAAAAACCCTTGCAACTCGATCTCGTCCCGCTCTGCTGAGTTTGATGTCGGGTGTTGCGCCTTTGTGGAGAGGGTAGGGAATTTGGCTTTTCTTTGTTGGTGAGAGTATGTTGTGTGGGTGATTTCGTTTGTTTACGGGGTTACTGCTGTAGCGCGAGGATGACGTCGATGCCGAGTCGCTGGTTATCCTCCGACGGTTGTCAACAAGAACAGGAGTGACGCGCCGGACTTGAGCAAAAACGCGGCGTGGTATTTCGGTTGCTGGCGTGGGAAGTATATTAGAGATTGTGGTTTGCTGTAGGTCATTGGCACTCCAGATGGTTTGGCTGTGATTGCAGGCCGAAGCGTGTTGTGTGGAATGCTGCCTGCGTGCGCGAAATGAAGCACAGCAGTCGCCTTTGTTTCTCGGTGTGGATTTTGGACTCGCAAAGGAGGATATGAACACCTTGTTGTGATGTTGGCATGCTGCTGCTCCTGTTGTTTTGCCGTGCTTTTGTATTCGTCCATGACGTCATCATCCATGACGTCACCGATAAAGAGCTTTGGTGAAAGCTCGGTTACATGAGCTTGAATCCCAACCCCTATCCCTTTCCCCCTAACCTAAATTTCGTTACTCTCTTGATGATGTTGGTTTACCCCCCTCCCCCACGCAAAGCATTAGTACGCCCCCCCCCCCCCCCCCCCCCCCCCCCCCCC